GAGCAGCCTGTTCAATGCCTGGCAACCCTCTCAGTAAAGAAATTCTTCCTAATATCCAACCTGAACCTCCCCTGGTGCAACTTAAGGCCATTTCCCCTTGTCCTATAGCTAGGGAGAACAGACCAAGAAGAACACAGGCAAAACCCTCTCCCTGTTCTTCTCCCTGATTACCAACAGCCACTGGGAGCATTAAATCTGCGTCGGCATCTTTGCACCACCAGCCATACCCGGGGGGAACGCAAGCATCCATTCTGCAAGGTTCATCATGATGCTATTAGAAAAATGTGTCATCTTCAGCTCAGCCTTGTCCAGTGGGGGTTAATCTGGAAGAAAAACCCTGAATTTCACAGACTGAGTCAGAACTTGGTTAATAAGCCACAGCACAACTGAGTCAGCGGCATCTCTCCTCACTGCTGTTTCACTGACATCCCGGATAACAAATATCACTCGCGCTGGACCGTAGCCAGTGCAGTGGGAGCCAAATCCCTGTCTCCCACCAGTCTATCGAAGCATACATCTCTATAAGAGACCGAAATACGTCTCTCCCCACCCAAGAGGAGAGGAGAAACTCAAAAGGAAATATGAAGACTTGACTTTTTTTTTTCCCCATGCCATTGTGTATCCATTCACCAAACACAGTGACATTGGGACAGACACAAAGCACCTTTGGAAATTGTACTCAGCGCTTAATCCTCTGGCTCCTTGGCACTCCTTTACTCTCCAGGTGCAAATTGCTGCATTTTCTGCTTACAGAGCAGCTGGCCAACAGATGACCAACAGTTACCTCCCAGAGTAGCTCTGTAGCTCTTGCTCCCTGGCTCACTCAGTGCACAATTATCTTCAGCGCAGGTCCTCCCAAAGCTTTTTGCCGTGTTGCTCGGAGCCTTACAGAAGGCAGCTGCACCCGTCGGGTCTAGCCAGGGTGGTGCGATCGCTAGTGCAGCGTGGGGAGCTCTCAGCCAGCCCCTGGGTGACACTGGGCTTCAGCTTTGTGCTGGAAAGGCAGATTTTGGTGAAAAGCACTGATCTTGCTGTTAATCACTGCCCTACACTGGGCTACCTGCTGCAAGCGAGGAGCTTTCTAATAATGCCAGGGCCTAAAATCTAACCAAACCAGCTCACCATACGCTGAGCATCCCAAAGGTCTGGAGCAAAAGGACGATGCCTCTTCCACGGCGATGCTGATCTCGTGCTGTCGGGTGCTTAGAAATCAGTCCTGAAAGAATCATGAAAGCACCTGGCAACACTGCAGCTACGCCCATTTTTCTGCTGCACAAATACTCAGCAAAAGGCTCAGAGAAGCCAAAGCTCTGCAGTTTGTGAAACAAGGTCCTGTTGGAGCTTTCTCACTGCAAAGGAGGGGTCCCCTCCCCAGAACCCCCTTTTCCACCGCTGAAGTGTGAGTTCTTCTCTTTCGAGGCAGCCCAGCGCCCAGGAGTGCCCGATACAAACAGCTCCAATCCCAGCCGTGTCAGCCGAATGGCTTTTCCCAGGGCGCTATGACCCAGAGAGAGGGAGCCCCGCCGGAAAAAAAAAAAAAAAGAAAGTCTAAAGCCAGCAAATGGGAATATTTTGGCACAGAAGCAAGTTGCAGCATTTGGATGCGTTACACTAGCAGGTCTCATATTCCCGTTAGCAGAGCTGCCTTCTCTTGGTGGAACAGGAGTCATGATTTTCAGGAGTCACCAAGATGGATGAGAAAGGAGAGGAAGAGCTGGTGCTGTAGGACCCGTAAGCAATAAAGAGTTAATTTAATGAAGAGTCACGAAGTGTACCTGAGTAAATAAGGACATCTGGAGTCTATTCAGGAAGTCCCAGTGCTGGGGCAGACAGGCTCTGTGCAGACAAGACAGAACAGCAAATAAGATGAGTCTTTAGGAATGTACCAAGTAAGTCAGAAAATGATAAATTAGTAAATCGAGAGGTGCTTGACAACTGCCAGAGATGTGTGCCTGCTGCATAATTAATATTGTACTTCTCTCTGTAAAAGTGCGTAACTGGGAAATGTGGGACTCATTTGGAGAAACTTTTGCTAATGGGTATCTAGAACGGATTTCTCTTCTCGTTTCTGTTGAACTCTGTGGGATCCCTGCTGACAGCCAGCCTGGTCACTCAGCCAGCAGCTACAACAAGCAGCTGCTCCAGCTGAGGCAGTTTGCATTCGCTGACTTGTTCCATCAGTGTTGCTGTCGGAGCCCGGTGAGATCTTTGGCAGCTGCTGACATCAGAAAGTCCCCAAGAAGCTGCAGTGACACGTGCCCCACCAGCTCCCGGAGCCGCTCATACCATCGTGCTGGCTGTAGATGTGGTCCAGCGTGTGCAGCATTTACCAGAAGAGGAGGAGACTTGCAGCTTGAACTCTCTTTTTCCTTCCTGAAGTAACTGAAACTGCCTAAACACACCACGAAACCTAGCGGGGAGATCACACTTCATTAACGAGGGCTGTAGGTGATGAGACCCAGCTCTGCAGGACTCAGCAGGTGAGTGTGTGTGTGTGTGTGTGCAGCAGCTAATTCCCCTCACACCAGGCAGAGAGCACTGATGCCACGTGCACTGAAGGACAGGTACAGAAGGGCGCAGCTCGGAGAAGTCTGGAAAAACTACTTGACCAGAGGCACTGGGCTGGCAGAGCTTCCTGAGGTAGACAGACCACTGACCATGCAAGAAACACGGAGCAGGAAACACCCCATGACAAAAGCAGCTTTACAGAGGGGAGGAAAAGTTTCCAGGAAATGGTGCAAAGCACTATCAGAAAACACAGGAACTAAAACTTAAGAAACGAGGACATGTGAAGAGGAAGAAGAGGAAACAATAAACTGTGGATGAAGGAAAAAAAAAATCCGAGGCAATCCTACAATTACCTGTCTGAGGAAGGGAAAACCGTTAAAAATACAGCACGCGGAGAAAAACACTCAGATGCAGGGACAGATGCCAGCCTCAGAGAGGGCAACACAGTCGTAAAACTGGGCTGTGTCTTATCACACAGAAACTGAAAAGAAAGGAGCTCTCACAAGAGATGTGGAGCACTGCCTCAGCATCAGTGTGTGAGAGACCAGGAAGACAGGCAAGACTCCCCTGGGGAGGGAATGATCAGGGAAAAAAGAAAATTTTCAAAGTGGGACACTTCTCTGGGCAAAGGAGGAAATGATGCTTTCTTTTTGCGAGCATAAATGTCAGTTTTAGAAAAGCCCAACCTCAGCTTACAAATCTGTTAGAACAAAGAAATGTAATGATAAAGGAAGTTTTTACTAGAGAGAAAAACCAACAGTGAACAATTAAAACGAGTGACTTCCCACAAGACGTTTGTGACTATATTTAGCACCATGGGAAATTCCCTTCCTGAATTCTCTCTGTTCTGGTTCACACAGATCGCCCAGAGCTCACAATACACACCAACAAGTGATGCAGGCAAATCCCAAGTTCACCTCTCAGGAAAAATCTTTAAAAATGCTGCCGAGACGTTTAATCTCATTGGGCTGAAGACAGCTCAGCACCAGGCAGCCTGCTCGCAGAGCAACCCGAAGCGGGAAGAGCAGGCACCTGCACGCCCCTCACCTGAACATGAGAGCAGATGGCAGCAACAATAAGCAATTCGCTTATTTTGCGGGCTTTTAATGGTAATTTTCACAATAATCCACAGATTTGTTGTAATGCACACTATATATCCAGCTCTTAATGAAAAACGTGGCGCAAGCCCAGCTCCGGGTTGAGCAGCAGTTGTACAAAACCCGCGTGAGCTCTGCTCTCTCCTCCCGCAGCCGGGGGTTGGTGCAGCCGGCGGAGCGAGTTCCTCACGCTGAACCTGCCCAGCCCCAGCCCTGCCCCTGCCCGCCCGGCTTCTTCTCCGCTCACCTCGACGGAAGGACCTAGAAGCTCCAGAAGCTGAGTGGGGGCACTTCCAGCGCAGTGGCCAACCGAGGCAGGACGCGGAGGGCGCGCTCCAACCCTTCGCACAGCGGCGATCCAGCCTCTCTGGAAGGGAAACCGCCGGGTGTGGCGCAGCTCAGAGTTAAGTGAGGTCTGGAGGTTCAACACAGCTCCAAGCTCTGCTCCGACGCCCGGGGCGAGCAGTGCAGGCACGCTACCGGTCGGTGCAACGTGCCACGGCACAACACTGAACGGCAGCTCGTACGCATCGACTCTGCACCAGCACTACAAGTCCCTCGTTTCGAGGCGTAAGGAAATCACCCGCAGGATTCTGTTCAAATGGAAGGAGGATACGGAGACCTGAGCCCAAAACACAAATGGTGGAACAGACCAAAGCTGGAGCATTCCAGGTGCTCGGATATGTTACTCCTCAGCAGAGGAGAGGGAATAAATGAAAGGGTGCTACAGCCTTGACTTTTTCCACCTGTTTCCATCATCTCAGTAATTCACCTCTGAAAACAGAATTTGCTTTCCAGTAAGATAAACTGTGTTTGCCTCTGACTTTCAGTCACCTCAAGCCGATTCGTCTTTGTGCCTTCCTAGAAAAAAAGCAACAACAAACACAAGGGTTTCTCAGAGAAAACCAATGCAGCAAATGAAAACCGTGGTCAGTCCGGGCTGCTAGAGAGAGGGCAGGCAGAGCAGTGCACTGAGCACCCCGAGGAGTTCTGCTGAGGGAGGGAAAGTTGGGATTTTGCCTCCTGAGAAGCCCGAGCAGAGTGCTAAACCTTGTACCCGCACACACACGTCTGAGTTTTCCCCACAATGACCAACAGCTGCTCCACAAAAGCTTCCCTCCAAGTGCTTTTCCAGTGGTGTCACCGTTACCTTGACAATCAGATAGGTTATAGTTAACATATGAAAACCAAGGGAGTACTTAGCAGCAGTCCCCAGACAAGAGGGAGGAGGGAGAAGATGGTGCTGAGCAGTCAGTTGACATGGATGGAACCTGCTCCCCAGGAACTCCCTTCCCCCTCACCTTCCTCCCCTCTGAAGCTGCCGTAACACAACCCACAGAGGTCAGCAAGCTCTCCGGGGAGAACCACGGGCACAACAGGCTGCGGCTCTTTTCAAAACGGATTCGTTTCATTTATTTATTTTAAAGTCCACTGATCATCATCACAAAAAAAAAAGAAAAAACAAAAAAACCCCATGGGAAATGCAACTAAAGAGAAAAAAAAAAGAAAAGTCCAACCAAGACCTAAGAAATCCGAGCTACAAGTAGACGTGAGTCGGTGCCGCACAGCGCAGTTGCACGCACGGGACGAGACAACACGCACGCGCTGCAGGTGGGCACGTGGCCAGAGGAGGGTTCCTTTATGTCAGCCGCTGAACAATGACGGCGTTGAGCAGGTTGGCTTCCTTCAGGGTCTGGTTCTCGTCCGTCAGCTCTTTGTTTGGGAAGGTGGTCATAAGGACGAAGCTGGTGGCCGCCATCGCCGGCCGCGCATCTACTATGAAGAGCCGGATGTCACGGATCCTGTCCAAGGGGATCAAACACACAAGATCCAGTTATTGAGCACCCTGGAAAAACACACAGCAACAGCTGAAACTAAACGTTTTGCAGAACACACGACCCTGCGCCACCAGCAGAGGCCTCGGGCAGACCATTCTGCCTTAACCCACTCGTCCATAGGCTCTGTTTAGTGAAGTAACACCGGCTGCTTTATAAACTAGAGACTTGCAGCTAAACGCTCTTTTGCGCTGCCCAGCGAGAATCTCTGTGTTAGCAGCCTAGCCAGGAGTTTGACATCTCCTCCTTTTCTGCAGCGTCATTCAAGCCTTCCCAGTTAGTGACGCCCATTTCCTGGTGTGTTTGTACCTGTGATTGTGGTTAAACTTCTGGACCAGTCGCCCGCCGTCAGCGAGCCGGATCTGGATGTTGGTGACGGGTTCCGACTCATTGATGGTGATGGCAGAACTGGCTTTGGCTTCGTTCTCGGCCTGCTGGGCTGGCGAGCTGGTGCCCATCACCTGGGGCGCGGTGCTGAGAACAGGGAGACACAAGGCGAGCTGTTAAAAACCAAACGTGTGTGAAACACGGCTTCTACCTGACATCCCGTGGTGGTTGCAAATGAGGGATCCGCCTCCCGCCACGCCAAGGCTGAGCCCTCTCACAGAACACACCAGTCAGCCCCATGCCCTCTCAGAGGAACACGTCCCTCACCCCAGCACCGAGTGCCTTTTCTTCAGAAAGATCCATCAAAAGGCTCAGCCCAGGAAAACTCTTGAGGGACTCTCTCATACCACACACACACCCCAGCGCTGCTCTCTTCTCACCTGCCCAGCTTCTGCCCCTCTCCAGTAAAAGCTCTGAAGACACTTTTAGGCTTCACATACTCCTCATCGCGGTGATCCTCCATGTCCAGGTTCACTTGTCCGCCCCGTGCTAACCTGCGCAGCTCTGCCGGGACTTCCCTGCAAAGAGAGTGTCCTGAGGCAGAGAGAAAGCACCAGGCACAGAGCTCTGCAACACCAGGAGCCTTGGAACATTCAGGCTCTCGTAAGAAAGCTCAGGCGAGACGTGCCCTTCATTCAGCATCCCGCACTCCACAAACACTTGTGCTCCAGAAAGTGGCTATTCTTTCTCTCTCCTCTCGCCACGTACCCTCTGCGGATATCGTCGAGAAACTGGGCGTTGGACGGATCCTGGTAGCTCCTCAGTTCGCCGCCGTCCAGTTTGCTTCAGCACCACGTGCACCTGCAGGAGCCCCCAAACCACAATGAGCCTCACTGAATCCTCTTAGGAAGAACAACAACCGGACACAAAGGGACAAGTTCCTGCCAGGCAGAGGAATTTCAAGCTGCACAGAAAGATACGAGGTTCCTCAGGGCCTAGGGGAAGCACTGGCTACGTCATGGACACACAGCAGTTCCTACAAGGTGGCACCACAGAGCCCTTTTTGATAAACAGGGGTGAAGAGCCAAGAGTTCAGGAGAGGAGCCTGAGCCACACCCCCACCACAGCCTAGATGGGTATTTGCTCACAAACTGAGCACAAGAGGATCTGGCACTGATGCTGTCAGATGCACAACTCTTCAACGGATGAAAAAGAGCTAATCGCTCCATGCTCTTTGTACGTTATTTTTCACAAACTGCACTTCCAGGGAACGCTCAGATTCTTAATTATAAATTCATCAGAAAACCGCTTATGCAAGACCCAAGCATCTATTATTTTCTAATGAGAAATCCCAGGAGAAGCAGGATTTACCATACTTTTGTCCTCTTGAATTTCCATCAAGCTTTACGACTCTCTGGGCTCGCAAGCTGTGTAGCTCTAGCAGGGAAATCCCTCGGGTGACATCGATAAAACAGCCCAGAGAGATACTCACATCCTGAGCAGAATTCTGTCTCCTCTCTCCTGCCACATAAGCCGACTCCTCCTCTGGAGTTGCGCCGAGGCGATACCCTCCCCCTGCGAAGGGCTGTGGGAGAGAGGCAGGCAGAGAGGTTACAGAGCGACACGAACCACAGAGAGCTCATTTCTCTTTCCCCAGCACTGCCACCGATGAACGGGGGAGCTTCACGGAGTCAGCCCCCATCTATTGTCTTGTAGGCACAGCGACCAGCTCCAACAAGTTAATAAATACGGCACAAGAATGTGGCTTTTCTTGCCACTGTGACACAGGGGTTGGAGCTGCACTAAGAGAGGAGTCCCTTCAAACTTGTTCCAGGACTCCACAGAACCGGAAAGCTGTCGCAGCGGGACCCTTAGCTGAAAGGTGGGGAACAGAAGGAAGAAGAAGTCACCGCTTCTCACTTTTGGCTTGCTAGTCTCGCCGCCGCTCTTGGCCGTCCGATCAACTGCCACCGCCCCGTGCTCCTTCGCTCCTTTGAACAGATCCTCCACCAGCTCGTTGGGACTCTTCTTCCTCGGAGGGCCAACGATCTGCTGTCCGCTCCTCTCCGAGCCACCAGCATAAAACCTAACGGAAAGCACACGGCTGCTGGGTCAGACTGGAGCACTGCTTCTCTGGGAGATGCACGTGATGGGATCCCACAGTTTTATATGAGGATTCAGTTCATTTTTGTACAGCTTGGATCTACAGATATTAGCTACTGCCAGTGCATCTCCTACTGTACAAGTTCCTGTACTGCACAGACTTTCTTTTTATGTCAGTTACCGCAAAACTATTAATCAACAATAAGAAAGTGACAACCCTCTCAGACCTAGCGAGAAAAACAGCCCATGGTGACAGTCCAGCTTCAAACGCGAGTACGAGCCATGTCACCGAGCTGAACTAGTCTTGCACCTGTCAGATGGAGGAAGACAGGCAACACCTGAGCGGTGTATTTTGAAGGAAGGCCACGTTCACACCACACAAAGATCACCACACGCAGGGTGGATCGGAATTGGAAGCAAGGAATGCGCAGCAAAGTGCAGGTAAGCACTGCTGGAGGATTGCGTTCATCAGCTTCCAGAGGGTCTGTAACCCAGACTGAGCCACCGTGAGATTCAGCTGACCTTGCCCGTTAGCCTGGAGGGTATTTAACTAACCCAGCTGACATCATACGTGACTTTCCCACTAGTACCTCACGTTCGCACTGGAAAGGGGATCCACAGTTTTCTTTCCACCTCCACACTCTATGAGATAACCCTTAGGCAGCACTTCAAAAACAAAGCCAACAAAAGAAAATAAAACAACCAACCCCAAAACCCCAACCCCCCAAAAAAACGCCCCGCAACTCAAAACCCCAAGCAGAAAGAAAAACAATCCCGGCATTATTCCCCCGTTTCCGTTCTCTGTGGACACAAATGATGATCTGGGCTTTTTCCTATTCTTAGCCGAGGGCTTCCACATCCTACCTCAGGCTTTCTCTCGACAGCGCAATTCAGGGATGAAAACCAGTGCTTATGCAGCCGTGCTCAGCACGTGCACACACTCTGCACTGACCAAATTTTCCATTTTTCCACATGGCTTTTTGCAAACACCTGCCTGCAGGCGGTAAGCCATTGCGACCAGGCACGCGTAAACACACAATTTTAAGCCTTTAACTGAAAACTCACCGCTGTCCCTCCTCCTCTTCATCGTCATCCTCCTGCGCGTGAACGAGGTCTCTAAACGATGTCACTCTGTGGTCACTGCAAAAGTCAGTCGGAGAAGGACGCGTCAGCCTCATGACACATTTCAACCACGTAAGCAAAAGCTCCTGAGAGAAGGAGTTGAGTTGCCCCTGTTCTTCTCTTAGGGCCTCACTCATTGCTCTACCCAGAGCCATCAGGTGGTGAACCGAGCTCCCGGACCTCTCTGCCAACTACACTGACAGAAAACGGGAGCTGGTGCACGGGAGGAGGCTGGGACAGCAGCTGCAGAAAAAGCCACGAGTCTTCGTGGTCACTGTTTCTGCTTGTGTACTGGATTTTGTTGCCCTTCCAAAGAGCTGCTGCGTCCAAACCAGTGCAAGTACAGGTTTCCCAGGGACAGTCCAGCCTCCACGTCCCTCCCCCTTGTTGTTTCTGCCCAGGGTGTCAGCTGCGATCAAACTGGAACACGGTTCCTCTGCAAGGTGGACTTTACTCCCCAAAGCCTGAACGGAGAGCGCTCTTCCTTTGAGATATGGTCAGTAACTCCCCCTTAACACTGGATTGGATTTCCCTACTGCACAGGGATTAGGTGAGGCCAAATTAACTTATTTTTGTAAAATGCTCAACTCGGTCAGATCAGGCGCCACACAAAACCAGAAAATAGTTTTCCTGCAGAGACACAATCTGCTCAAACAAAAGTGTCACCAACTGTCTTCTAACCTCAAAAGACAAATCAAGTTTTTCCTGAGCAATGAGGCAAGTTGCCCTAACTGATCTTTGGATTAGTTGTGCAATAACGTCTGCGCTTGTAATGTATAAATGCTGAGGTTTTCACAATTTCTAGAGCGCCACACAAGGTGAAGCCGGTCTAAACGCAGAGCTACTTCTCCTGACAATTAACATATGTCAATGTTTCAGAGCTTGCGTTTTTACATAAATAGTTTTTGCTGTCAGGTTTACAAATTGCCAGTGAACAGATCAGCCTGACTCCTCACCTGGCGATGGTGCCTCTGGATATGGCGCTGGGTGTCGGCTGGGGAAGAGTCAGGATGTCCTCATCACCCCCGTCCTCGTAGAAGCTGGCAAGGGCGATCTGGAAAGGGTGCAGGAGCTTTTCAGGATGACAGCAAACTTTCCAGCACAATGGCAAAGCCACACACAAATAGCACAGCCGAAGCTGGTGTCACGTCAGACCTCTTGAGGCCGGTCAGTGCTACAGAAACGTCATTTCCCCCTCTGGGGCTCCAGGTGCAGGTGGAGCTTGGCCGGGTTGTGGCGTCTGGCTTTGTTGTGGTGGGACACTCACCCTACAGCTACGCCAGAGTGACTGCCCTGACCAGGGGCCCTTGTTCTGCAACAGTTCTACCGGGGTCACGCTACAATTATGGTTCCGAGGCAGCTGCTTTTGCGACACCCCCGAGTGGAGTCGCGGTTTAGCGCGGCCAGACGGCTGGAGGGGGCCGGGAGCCGGGCTCGGCTCAGGCCGGGGGGCGACGCCCCCCTTACCCGGGAGGTGCTGGG